GAGAGTCAATCTTGTCGGGAACCTGAGACGAAACACATAATGGTTGAGTTCTAAAATCGAGTGTCGGAATTACCAATATGTTCGCTAAAGTTGCCTGTGCGATAGCTGTGATCAAAAGAGTGGAAAGGCAAATTTCGCCCCCGTAAAGGATACCTCCATGGCGGAGGGATTGGGCTTTGCAGTTCTTGAGTCCGAAGAAGGAGCCTGGGGATATAGCAACCTTGATAAAGCTTTTTAGGCTCTACCAACACAGCAGGATACCAGAAAGAATCAAGATATCTGCGAACTTATCACTCTGAGCGGAGATAAAGAAATATCACTTAGAAGATATGATGGGAAAAGGAATGGTCGAGTGCCACGGGGACACAGACCAACAAGGAAATTCTCCTAATGTTAATTTCAGTTCTGTTAACCTCTATGCTTTCTATGGAAGTTCACGTGGTTGGAATGACTTTGGACTGTACGCAGAGATCCTCGCCGGCTCCACCAATCCTGTAGCCAAAGTGGACTTGAAGTGATAGCTAAGGACCTAAGTAACGCAAAAAAACAACGAATTCTGTTAAACTGACGGAGCGTTGGTCAAACATAATCCTCCCTGTGCCTTAACATAATGGAGCTATGATTATTGTTTACTTACGAGTAAATTGGGTAAGGCGTTAAGAGGTCTTACATACCCTGTATTGGTAGTTTCATATTAGCGTGTAGGCGAGGCTGGAGGGGATTTTTCACATGGGCATGTCAAAGTCGGGTTCCTTTGGCGTGAAGGAGTTGTACTGGGTTTTTCCGTCGAAAAATCAGTTGACAGATGTGGCAGTCGAGGAAGTTCTCAAGTAGGCTTGTGATGCACGATCAATAGTTTACGATTCTTCTAAAGAGAAAATATGTATGTACAAGAAGGACTTATTTATACCCGCGCTCTCCTCCAATACGTGGCCCGCATCAATTCCTAAGAGCGGACAGATGTACCTATGGGGAGTTTAGGTTTCTGCATTGGTATTAACTCCCGACACTCGCCCTACCACTCGGCTACCTTTCAATCAGTTTCGCCGTGCCCGAAACAATTCTCTCTCAGCTCATCCGAGTGCGGATAACTTTCTCAATAGATGTTCCGGCACACAGTCCAGCGCACAGTCCTCTAATTATGTCACTCCCCGTGCTCGAGGCATTCCTCCCCGCGTCTGTCCGAGTGTTTGCCAGTAGTCCGAGCCGTAGAGTGAGTTTTCCATTACCTGACGTCCCAGCGGGTGGAAAGGGTAGCCTGCATTGGCCAATGCTGGCTACAGAGTTTACCGTCGGTTCACCAGCCGTTACAACAGAGATTTCAACCCTGCAGACAAGTTGGACGAAAGCTCATCACCACCAACATACGAGTTAACAATGAATCTAGGTCTGTCTGGGGGTCGTGTTCAAACATCTGGCATCTCTCAAACTCCTTAAATATTTGCGACGATCCATTTTTCAGTCGATCCTATACCTGCGACCCACCTCCATACTCGTCCAATCACCTATCTACACACGCCCTAATGAGGAAATTCACGATGGAAAAAGGTTGTGTGCAAAGGAGGAAAAAAAGGGAATGTACAATGAGGGGATCACACAAATCTCCAATGACGACAACAACCCAACGGTACAAAATGAAGGTGTGTTTTGATCAGGCCCACTTATAGATCACGCACCTTGAAATGGCCAGTATTAGGCAAGTGTAACCGACAGGACAAGCGATCCTGTGTCAATGACACGTCATCGGCACACAGCAGTGACAATACCAGTATCTCAACCATACATGATAATATATTAATGTGATGCAGGTATATCTAATGACATAGTCGTTGAATGGCTGAATGGTTGGCAGTTATTGCTATTGATGGTATATTTTATGCATTGTCTTTGTGTATAAATACTCGCTGCAAGACCTCTGTACATGATTAACCTTTTCCACTCTTATTTTCAATAATCATCAATATAGCAGATCTACAATATATATCTGTCTTCTTCACGTTAGGCTTAAAGTGCTATCCTACATCCACCCAAGTTAACTGTTACACCCATTGTGACAATTCTTAGACTTCTCATAACCTCGTTATCATAATAGGGTGCAAGGCTAGAGTAACGATGAGATCTGTGACTACATTTATCTTTCGGAGTCAATGAGAATGTCAAGAGCTCGGGCGCGTGGTGGCCGAGGCCGAGGAGGGATTTGCGCTTCGGCTCGTTAAAAGAGGGTTCTCTGGACGGTTGAGATTGACACGATTCAACCCATGGGTGAAGTCTGAGGTGGTCCGGTCATTTAGGTGGGACGAGGCACTTGTACTTTACCGTAGTTAACCTGATCCGGCCCGGCCCCACCCGTGCTTAAGGTCCAGTAGGAGTGCAACGGGAATCACTATACCTAGCACGTTAATGAACAAAAAAATAAAAAGCTGGTATGAAGTGTACTTGTCGGTAAAAGGATCATATTTTGGTAGTGTGAATTGTTCTATGTCTTTGCGGTATTCAGGTTGTTGTTAGGACACTGACAGGGATCTGACTTAGCTTACTAGCGAGGCGCTTGGAGTATAGTAAGAAAGGGAAGATGAAGAGGAGAAGAGGAGAAGAAGAGACAACGTTTTATGTATTTCGAGATACCAGTTTATTGACTTTATTCACCGACTTCGTGACGGCAACCAATTTGTATTACTTCGTGTTTTACCAACAGTACTCTTAATTCCACTGTCGCATAAACTTTTCAACAGCATTCAAAGCAGGTCATGAGCCCGGGCTCTTTCTTGCGTCAAGAAAAATAGTGTATTTACAGCAAAATAAATATAGATTGCTTACAATCAGGCAGAAGGAACTTAGCTACAATTACATCGAATGTTCCAAGAGTAATTCCGAGCACAGGAGTAACTTTCTCTGAATGGGAAACTGAAGTTCAAGCAATATTAGCTGAGAAGAAACGCCTGGCCCTTGACTTTCATGAAGTTTGTATGAGACTTGTTATCTGTCAACTACTCCTTGAGAAACAGATGCATATTTAGGACTCTGAATTTTAATTAACCCGTGAAAAGCACCGAAACCAGGTCGACAAATAGCTCGAGGAAGATGTCGAGGCAAAAAATGTTCTTGCACTTCGAGTGAGCATGGATGCCAGGCTCAAGAACTACCGCAAATACACTGCTAAGCAGCTTTATGAGCATTCAGCAATGGAAACTGCCGTTGTCCGCCCCCCGGTGGTGTTCTCTGGTATGGTTTGAGTAGTCTGGGCACCTACTACACTTGGGAAGGAGACATCTCAAATTACATTTCGCGCGGAGGAAAGTTGATGGATGATGGAGGCATGTCTGGATAACCCAGAGTTTTTGAGACGTTTCCCTGGGTGGGTATTCACTGATGAGGGTTGACTTGGGGTGAACAAAAAGCCACCATAACTTCGCAGTGGTACTTGCAAATAAAATCCGAGGCATGAGTGCTCTTCTTGTAAATTGAGTCTTCTATTATGCACTTCTCTGATATTGTTTCATAGCTAGATAGCTGCATACGCAATTAAAATCTGATGCGAAAAAAAGAGCACTCGGCAAAGATACGTCAAGAAACCACCATCACTCTGTACGGACTAGCCAGCTGTGCGTTTGTCTCCAAATCTTTCACTGCGACAGAATACTACGTCGGGAATTTTCGACAAAACCTTTTGACAACCAACAGTGCAGCAAAATCTCTGGTACACGATTCATCAAAAAAGAATGTCAACAACAATGGCTGTTATGACACGCAGAATATTGCAAGCAAGAACTCAAGGTTTAAAAGGTACCAAAGCTAAAGAGCAAAGCTACGTCTACAAATTACATACATCCTAGTGTATGAGATTAAGCGAATAGTAATTAATAAGTCGTCAGTGCTTCCATAACGCCAGACCACCGTAGGTATCCTTATCCAACTCCTTGTCTGTACACCTTACCCCTAGCCACTTAACAATGCCTATTATTGAAATGTATAACCCACTACTTAGTTCGTGGACTTATTGGTAGAGGGAAGCTTATGCAATAATGAAGGATAAAAGTATGTTAATTCAACTATTCTACTAAACACAGGTACCAGACTCCTTTTAATCCCAATAGATAGCCCGTGCGGGATCTCCTATTAACAGCAGTAAACAACGCTAGCACAGCGTATACGCAATCTCCATTCGCCAAACACCAGTCGGTCGGGACTACTAATTATCGAGCCTAGTAGGATCGACAAAGTGTATCCCAACACAGAAATAATAGAAAACTCAACAACAAAACCCTTCATCAATTACTTCCATTATCCATCACCTGACTTTTCTCTGTACTCCGTAATTTCAACATGAGGGATCGTTATTTCCTCAATAAAAATACAAGTTTTCCTCATCACGAGAACACACGCGATAGCGTTCAATGACACCTAATGTGAGCTTAACTTCTCGAATAGTATCTATCGTCCTGCTCCTACTTATCCTAGTTATTGTAAGAAATCACGATAGCACGACGCTCATTATCTTCAAGGGGGATGTTATTATTGTGGCACGGATACCCATGCAAATTTATATTGAGGATTGGCGACATAAATAGAAATGGTTCTAATACAAAAGAGTAGAATGGACTGGTATGAAATGGAAGTTGACTCCCTTAGTCTGGAATGACATAGAATGGTTACTATGAGAACCGAAGTATATTCACATGTATAAAACAACAGTGGTCCTCCCTCATATAAGAGGATCAGGCATAATATATTCTATACACTTATATGCCATAGTATCATTCATGTAGTTCAGCAGACGTGCAATAATTACCAGTAGCTATTCCAGCCCTCATGGCCTTGCATTTATAACACTGACTAAGAGGTCTTGAATTCCCAGTGAGGCGTCTTGAATGTCTTCAGTCGAGGTTGTTTGCTGACTCTCCACGGTCTAGGAAGAAATTGGTGAAAATCACCCATCAAGTGACAAAATGACAGTAGAAACACCTCATGTTTATCCATAGAATAATAGAGCCACAGCCATCTCAATGGTCTAACTTCAGTGAGAAATCAATGTGTGGTGCACCCTCAAAATTATTTGCCAAAATAACGTTTAAGCCGCTGTTTCCCCAGTGGTGGTATTCTACTTCTTCACCATTGCAAATCTGTTTGAACTCTGGTTCAAAATACTGAATGACTTCAACGCCAAATTTGCTTAATGACTCTGTACTTTTTCTGATAATCTTAATTAATTCAACGATTTCTTTGAGTGGTAGGGACCTCATTATGATAACATCTGCGTTAGCTTGAGCAGCTTGAGTCGCGTCGTCCAGGTTGTCTACTTCCACCCAAACTCTGAGAGCATTCCCAGATATATCTTTAGCAGCTTTTATGGACTTGCTTACTGAGCCACATACTTGAACGTGATTTGTACTCAACATAATCATCATCGAAGGATCCTGATCGTGGAGATTTACACCTCCGATCTTCATAGCATAACTCTCTACAAGTTTGAAGCCCGGGGTTGTTTGATTGTAGACCAATACCCGTTCAATATTGCTATGTCTGAAACTTCGCCTAACAAGTCCCGACATTGTCGCAATTCCCGAGCTTCGACTAAGTAAATTAAGTCCGATTCTTTCTCCTAGGAGAATCTTTCGTACCGGTCCAGTCACTGTCGCTATTATTCTTTTTTCGCCAGGATTGACGTGAATGTGATCGCCTTCCTCTACCCACCATTTAACCTTACATTCTACGAGGGCAAAGATTTCGTTGAAAAATGGCACACCGGCGACATAACCACTTGTCTTTCCGTAAAGCGTCGCTGATGCTATATCATCACCAACCACCAGTCCTGCGTAGTCAAAAGATGGACAGTCTTCGGCATACCAAGCGGCAATTTGGCTCTTCCATCCGATAGGAAGAATATCTGTAGGTTCCCCGCATTCATCAATTTTTTCGACATACAACATTTTTATGAGTCTGGTGGTAGAATGTGCGAGAAGTTCAGAGCACAATCACTACAAATGATAGGTTTCAAGAGCAAATAAATAACAAAAGTGGCGAAGTATGTCTGAGTATATTCTAGTTTTATATGATTATGATTCCGATGATATTTGACGTCGCGGGCCCAATCATAATTGGGATGGCCCTATACTCATAGCCTAGGAAATACTGCTTAATAAGCTGGCTTATAGAGCTAAACCACTCCACTCTCAAACCCTATTTGTCCAGGATAACGAAGGCTGATTATCTGTCAGTGGTTTCCTCTACGAACCTGAGAGTGAAATATTCTTCCAGAGCTGAAATTCGGTCATGAACAAGTGTGGAATGATTTTTACTTGATGGATTATCGGCGTGAAGGAGTTGTTCTGGGTATTTTCGTCGAAAAATCAGTTGACAGAGATTTCACTGCCGGAACAAAGTTGAACAAAATCTCATCACCACCAACATGCGATTCACGAATGGATTTAGGTCTGTCTGGGGGTCGTGTTCAAACATCTGGCATCTCTCAAACTCCTTAAATATTTGCGACGATCCATTTCTCAGTCGATCCCATACCTGCAACCCACCTCCATGCTCGTCCGATCACCTATCTACACACGCCCTAATGAGGAAAGTCATGATGGAAACGGGACGTGAACAAAGAACAAAGAAAATGTTATGTACATCGAGGGGATCACAAATCCCCAATGACGACAACAACCCAACGGTACAATATGAAGGTGCTAGGCTAGGGCAACGATGAGATCTGTGACTACAAATATCTTTCAGAGTCAATGAAGATGTCAAGGGCTCGGGCGCCTGTTTGCTGAGGCTGAGGAAGAATCTGTGCTACGGACTGTTTACAGCGGGTTTCTGGTCGGTCAGATTTGGTATGATTCAACACATAGGTGAAGTCTGAAGCGATTCGGTCATTTAGATAGGACGAGGTATATCTGTACTTCACGGTAGTTAACCTGCTCCAGCCCGGCTTTACTCTAGCTCAAGCTCCCATAGGGGTGTGGAGGCTGCCAATTACCCAGCACATTATTCTTTAAACAATACAAACAACTTTTCAACGCTTTAATGAAGAAGTAATTATTCTCAACAACTGGATGTCTATATACGATGTCAATCGCAACTGTAGGAGTGAAATTTTCACCTGAAGCAAGTTTCAGTCGAATCTTGATATACCGATCAGGGTGACACAAGGAGCAATTATTCTTGTCGGAGGACGAAGACTAAAGACATATATGCGGTGTCCTCCATAAAACTTGAAATGGAATACTATCCCAGAGCCGAGTTAAGTCAAATTTTGCGATACCATAGAAGTTGGCCCATGAGGGGATGATCCAAGATACTACACCGTGTTAATCTTTCGCTCCCAACGCCATCAGTTCACACCAAAAGAGAGGGACAATCATCAACACTTGTCAGTGGTGTCCCCTACGAACCTCCAGCTCTCACTATAGGGTATGCAGAGCCGAAGTTGAGTAACATAGTCCTCACTTCGATGAGGATTCCCATTCGCTTTTGCGGTCTGTATCGTCTTCATCTCCCAACACATTCCCCTATCACCATTATCATGAAACTAACCACGATCAGTTTAGATGGAAGGGTCGAAGCCTTTCTCATCACCAACACTTGATCATGGAGGAGAAGCCATCCGATGAGTTTCCGGAGCGTAGCCAGCACCCGATACTGAGATGGTGGATTGAATCAAGTCGGCCTCGACTAGTACAAGGTAGGGAGATATAGATGAATATGCGTATCTTATCTGGACCCGGTGTCTAGGCCTCGCCTGGCTGGGGCTGCAGGGTTTTTGAGACTTTTTCCCGTGCACGCAGTCTTCATAACTACCATTTTTATTTCATTGGGTAGAAGGTTCCGTGGAAAAGGTGGCCGAAATCCATGAGTAAACACTGAGCTGAATGGATATTCATCAAGGGCAATATATCAATGATGTTACAAGAAACAAAAGAGGATAGGAGCACTGAACGAGGTGTGACCTAGGCTAGAAAGGAGTCCAATGTACTAGATAGTCATAGACTCAAGTGGTACAATAAACACACCTCTCTCTCCCACCAAAAGATACTCAAGCTTACATGCACGACTCAGTACATCCTCATTTCGATGACCACATATCTAGTCGAATTTCTTTGGCCTCAGCTGCTCACCAAGTGTAAAAATAACAGAGTTATTGGAAAGAGCGATAAGAGTTGTTGGGCTCTTACAACATATCACTCTAGAAGGATTAGGACTGGAGTTGATAGATCAAATAAGAGAAAGGTAAAGTGTATTACTATTGTTGAACAAATTTGGTACATCTCAGTGCGTAAGTAACACTGAGTGAGGCCGGATGGTGCAACATGCGGACCGTTCTCCCAAGTACTTACTGGGTAGCTTGAACACCTATCCCATTTGAGACAGGAGAAAGCTGGTTCGTATCCAGTAAGACCTACACACCTCTCTCTCTCGCGGCGATAGTGTGTTTGTGGGTTGGTGAAAGCACACTTGGATAACCATAGGGTTTTCACGCTTTTCTCTGTGATTGGCATACATGAAAGAGACTATACGCCGTAAGGTTTAACCTCGAGTAGTATCTGCAAATGAAATATGAGTGAGTGTTCTGAACGTCAAATTGAGTCGTCCTACTTTAAGGACATGTCTTCCGATAAAAACCTGCAAGGGCCTCAAGGCGCCAGATCAGGATAGCTAAATAACTTATTTAACACTAAGTTCAATAGGCTGTACCCCGTTCGGTTAGGCTGGGCCTGAAAGATAGCCCAGCCTCGTTCGAGAATGCTAACCACGTGACTCAACGTGGCGTGCATTTTTGTCAGGAAACTCTGCCTGGTCAGCTAGTTGGTCAGCTGAAAGGTATCCACATCCTTATCACATGACACCTTTATCACTCCACACCCTTGGTATCTACATCCATGCATTCTCCACATACCCCATATTACCAGCTGCATTATCTTACTCTCGTGACTATACTTTCTCAATATCCCAACAGGTTATGAGCCCGGTGTTTAGTTATTCATCGGCTTCCGTTTTCGAACAATCCACAGCAATGTCTTCATGTACTACAGAAGTAAAAGACACCAGCAATCACGACGGTCTTCCACAGTACAAATCTAATTGGAGGAACAGTGTGATTCTGAGCCTCGGAATGTTCGCAGAGTGGCGGATTACTTGCGAGATCGCTTTGATAAACATAGGCATTTTAAGTATCGCTGATGGCACTTGGAAGAAAACTATTGCTAATGATTAAACACATGCTTCCCGTCCTAATATACGATCAGTCTTGTCCGGTGCACATTATAATGAAATTGATACCGATGACGATAAATTTCGAGTACAGGAAAAGAAATGGTTGTCTAAAGCTTGCGACACACAGATAATCATATCCAACTCCTTTGAAACCCAACTAATGGAGCAATCGCTCGGATTTCTGAGGAACACTGATCCTGCCGGGTTATGGAACTTCCTCCTCTAAATGGACCCAAAAAAAGATCCAACAACCATTGCAGAATTGAGATCCAAGCTCCCCTCCATGAAGCTTGATCCGAGAATAGACACAATCCAATCTCTTGTTCTACGCCTCAATAATCTCAGAGTCAAGCTATCAATGACTTCTAGACCGATCACCGAGGAAGATGTCAATGAGCAGCTAATTGCATCTCTTCCTAAAGATAACTCGATTTGGTCCACGGCTCGATCACACGCTCTAAACATGGGCAGAAGTCTCGCAGAAACAATTACATATCTTCAATCTTGCGAGTCTAACATTTCTTATACAGAGCCCCCTCAACCACAATCTGCAAATATAGAACGCAGCAATTATAGAAAAAGAGGATGTGGTACATATCGAAGGGGACGCAATACAGTGCACTTTGATCGTCGTGATCAAGCTCGCGGAGAGCTTAACCGAAAAGGAAAGCAAAGAGGAATGGCAACGGACGAAAAGGAGTATTTCTTTTGTGGTAGAAAAGGTCATATAGAACGGAATTGTCGCCTTAAGCAATCCTAAAGTAGAGCAGCCAATGAAAAGAATAAAGCTAGGGGAGATGCCGACGCTCGTTATGTCCAAGTTAGAAATATTAATGCAAATGATTCACCCTACCTGTCTTATTATCTTGAACACAGTCACAAAGCTTGCTCAGAGCAAAATATGGATATTGGCTCAACTCAAAATAAAGTCAAGTAAAAGTAAAAGCCGTCAATACAAAACAAAATCCAAAAATATACAGAGCTTGATCACCAGCGGAATTCATAAACTTCTTAAATTTATACGGCTTCTGGATTCTAATGCAACAGCTTTCCCAGCTGTCACAAAACATGCATTACTTACCAAGCCCAGAGAAATTCTCACAATAATTGACTCCGGAGTGTCAGAACATTTCAGTGGTATGAGAGACGATTTCTCTAAGCTCAAAAGATGGAGCAGTCCAAAGTCTGTCCAAATTGCAGACGGAAAAGTTATTCAATGCGAAGGCTATGGCAATATATCTTTTAGGACTAGTGATAAAATAATTGAACTAAGAGAAGTCTGGTTTATTCCTGAGTTTGGTCAAATGCGGCTTCTGTCTGTCTGGGCCTTCATGAAGAGGGGCATTGATGTAAAGTTTGCTGATGGCCATTGTCAAATAACACGACATGGCTCAATCTTGTTTGAAGTAGAAGGAGAGGATGGTGTCTTCAAAGTTAAAACAAAATCAATACCTCAAGCAACATCAGCCACCTAAGTTCAGCAACAAATGCCACACCAAACAGAGACTGAATCGGACATTTTGCATAGAAGAATGGGCCATATTAACATCAAAGATATTGACAACATTCTGAAAACAGGACACACTGAACTAAACGTTCCTAACAAGAAAATATCAACTCCGATCGGATCAAAATCTTGCAAAGCAAGCTTAGCAGGCAAGATGAAGAAAAACTACAGTAAGAAATCTGACAATCGTTCAAGCACCATCCTTCGTCG